TTTCTATACATGAGTAAGCGTTTGTTCGCAAGACGGGCTTTGTGCGCGACACACATTGGAGCAGTTACGAAGATTTTTTATTCTAATATATTAATGCTTGAGTCATAAGAGGTATCGGGAGGAATTGATCTTACCCTTCTATAATTTGTTCACATCTGAATATTATCCTGTCTGGATGTTAAATTCGGTAGCGCGAAATAATCTTCGAGTTTTTCTCGGAAGTAACTAGTGTATGTTGTCGAAGTTAAAATACTTTAAACTTTACTGTTTTTATGCACTTATTATCTCGCACCGCTGCCACTTACAATTGTAAGATTCGCAATAATGTTTTTTAATTAAATACTCTTTTTTCTTGATCTTATCAAAAATTCACTTTATTACAAAATTTACTTTACAATTTTCGCTTTTAGATGCAATCGGTCTCGCAGGACTCAATGGACTGACTGACTTAATCCAAACGCTTTCTATTTTAAGGCTTCGGAAATACTTCTCGAAAATTCGAGTTATTGAGTTGGAACAGATTTTCGTTCAGACCTTTCGTTCTTATGTCTATTCTCATCCTAAAGGGCTTTGTCCATAAGTAAATGGACGGAAGTAAGGATAAAAAAAAAACAAAACAAAACATAAAGAAAATGAAGAAAAAATCACATTTCTAACGCTTTCTTATTTTAATTAAATTAGATTAAGTTCTAAAATAGGTATATGGACAATGGTCACAGTCATAAGCCAGAAGTCAGAAGCTAAAAATTGACCAATCACAGTCGTCAATTTTTAACTTCTGACTTCTGATTTATGACTAATGGTTTATTGTAGAAGGCTCATAACTCTTAACGACAGTCGTTGATGTCATCGCGCAGCTTTTTTACTCTACATAATGTCTGTGCAACGACATCAACGACTGTCATTAAGAGAGCGGGGTCTACAATAGAATTCGTAGTGGTCGTAGAGTCTTAAGTCATGGAAAATTAACCAATTACAATCAAATATGAAAAGAACAATCGACTATGATTGGTCAATTTTCTACGACTTAAGATCCTACTATTGTAAAAATTGCAAAATGGTAGAGGACTTTTCTTCTCAGTTTAGTCCATTCTGCCCCTATGCAAAAGATTTAACATTAATTTCCAAATATCCTGTATAAATCAATATAAATTTGCATAGCGGATAAAACCGCAAACCCGTGGAGCGCTGGTGGAATCAAACTGGGGTTCGTAAATTCCGAGTTTGATCCACCTCGGCTAGTAGCCACCCTGCGGTCCACGACTTATACTACCAATTATGACTAGTAAATGCAGACTCACAGTCATGTTATAATATATATTATAACATACATGTGATAAATAAAATATTTATAATATTTTTTTTCAGTATCTATTATAACACTACACATATTTATAATATTATAAATATTTATAATAACAAAAAACATTTTGTATTTGTGTTAGAAACAGTTTACACAAATCCTTGTTAAGAATTTGTGTTCTTGTTAAAAATGAGTGATCATGCGATTTTCGGATATGTCCGCGTATGTTTTAAATGCAAACCCATAATCTCATGTCAATAAAAAAGAAATTCGTTAATCCTGAAATTCCAGAGATTTCAGAGATTTTCCACGAGTTTTCTAGGATACGTTAAATTCTAGGATAATTCTAAGATTCAAGGCATTCAAAGATTGCTGGACAATCTGCAATATTTATTATATGTAATACAAAATAATTGCAATATAATAATTGCAATCTAATCTACAATTCATAATTATTTATATACAATAATAATTCATATACACGTTATTTTGTCATTCCTGCAAGTCTTACTTTTTTAATGCATATTTATCATAGTGTTATCTATACTGAACAAAATAAAATCAATATTAATATATTTTTATCATTATTAATTATTATTAATGTAACATTGTAATATGCAACCATAACAATACGTAGAAAAGAAATGAATGCAATATATTGAAGCAAAATGAAAAAAAAAAAGATTCTATTTTCTAATTTTTTATTTTTTTAATAATTTTAGTTAATATATTTATAACTAGTATTATTCTAACTATAGTACTATTATAACTATAGTACTATTAAAATAAATCTATTATCTAGTTAGTATTATTATTTAGTTAATATTATTAGTATTTAATTAGTATTATTATAATTAGTCTATTTTATTTTCAAGTAAAATTGTTTTTTTGTTAATTATGTAAATATTTGGCATAGCACGCAACATCAAATAATATTACTTAATTGAAAAATACAAAATTAATAGACAGCAATAAAAATAATAAGACTAACCGCACGATTACGAATGTATTAAATAAAAAATATTAAAAAATACCAAAAAATTTTTTTTTAATTCTGAATTATATATAATATTGGATCATTATAATTATTTAGTAAATTATTCAATTAACAATAAGATTATAATAAATTATATATTTTATAAGAATAAAAAGTATGCAGAAATAGAGTTTAGAAATATTCTCAAGTATCTCGAAATCTGGCGAAATTTTGACAATTATAGATTTAATCACGCGATAAAAATTACATTTAATTCTATTATTTTCGCAGAAACTTAAAAATGCCTATATAAGCATAAGATGCTCTTATCTCATCTCTCTGCCGTGCAAGGCTAAACCGCTAAACATTTCCCTGAATCAGAGCTCTGAGATTCATCAAAGAGGTGTGCCAAAACGCCATCTGTACGTTACTGCGATGTATTGAGAGGACTAGAGGAGCCCTTTTGCAGCGGACAAAATTAGTCGTGAGATATCACGCGGCTGTTCCTTATAGAAAAAAATTATGATGGCAAGCAAGGCTTGGAAGGTCAGTACTGCAGATCCCCGCTGGAACCGGATCATTTCTACGGCATGACAACGCACGGAAAACAACTATCATATTCCCGCGATTCGGCCACAGTACTGACGCCGTCTTTTCGTAGGTAGTCCAGCCGCATGTGCCGATGATCAAGTTCCGCAAGGGTGGCATCAATCGCGCAGGTAACATAGACAAAAATTAGCATAAACGATCGTCGATCGTCTCCTACGGGAAAAATAATATCCCTGTCAACAAATCCATCATCCGCGTTGTTGGTTAGCAGTTGCAGGCTCGACGGCCGCGCCATCTACGCGACCAGGGTCGGCGAGGATGCAGCAGAGCGCGGGTGGTGCGACGGGCCCTCAGGTGATCGTTCTACCGACAATAGAGGACATTCATTTGCCACTGCGATATCAAAGAAGGCAGATAGATCAGAAGGAAATAGAATATATCAATGTAAGTTTCGACGGTTATTTGAATTGCAAATTATATTATGAATAGATATATCATGTATAGATTAATGCTAGCTTAATATTTATGAT